GGGTTTCATCCGCCCATCCACCTACCCTGCGTTGGCTGGTTTCTTCTTCGTGGCCAAGAAGGAGGGGGGTCTTCGTCCGTGTATTGACTACTCCCATTGGTGCCGGCCGCCATTGAACAGCTACGCGGGGCCCAGTTTCTTACCAAGCTGGACCTGCGGAGTGCCTACAATTTGATCCGCATCCGGGAGGGGGATGAATGGAAGACGGCCTTCAGCACGGTGTCTGGGCACTACGAGTACTTGGTGATGCCTTATGGTTTAGCCAGTGCTCTGTCGGTGTCCCAAGCATTCGTGAACTAATGTTTCGGGACATGCTTGGGCACCAGGAGGTTGTGTATATCGACGACATCCTGATCTACTCAGCCACCTTGGAGGAGCACATCGCCCACGTCCGGATAGTCCTGGGACGCCTCCTGGAGAATCATATGTACGTCAAAGCGGAGAAGTTCCATCGGGTCGCTGTCTCCTTCTTGGGATATCGGATCAGCCCACAGGGGGTGGTTATGGAGGAAAGGAAGGTAGATGGGGTCAGGTCATGGCCAGTCCAACCACCATAAAGGGACTACAACGGTTTTTTGGGGTTTGCCAACTTTTACCACCGCTTCATCAGAAACTTCAGCTCCATCGCCTCTCCTCAAAGGTGGTCCCCATAAGTTGGCATGGAATCCTGCAGCTGAGGCCTTCTGCCTGCTGAAGGGGTGTTTCACCTCCGCCCCGTTGCTGAAACACCCAGACCCTACGCTGCCCTTCGTGGTGGAGGTGGACACCTCAGACGTGGACGTGGGGAGCCGTCCGGTCACAACGTCAAGGTAATCCACAAAAACTGTATCCTTGTACATAATACTGTAAAAAACTGTGCCCTGCAGAAAGGAACTATGACGTCGGTGATTGGGAGCTCCTGGCGGGGAAGTTGCCATTAGAGGAGTGGAGACACTGGCTGGAGGGCGCCACGGACCCGTTTCTCATCCTCACCGACCATCGGAGCTTGAAGTACATACGGACAGCGAGGCGGCTGAACCCGCACCAAGCAAGGTGGGCCCTTTTCTTTACTAGATTCAACTTCTCCTTGTCATACCGCCCAGGTTCAAAGAACATCAAAGCTGATGCCCTGTCCCATCTCCACGATTCGGGAGAGGTCCCTGTCCTGAGTGGTCCCATCATACCGCCCTCCCGACTCGTTGCCCCCGTGCTCTGGGACATAGACGTGGACATCCGCCAGGCTCTGGAGAGGGAACCTGCACCGGCTACCTGTCCTCTGGCACGCACCTACGTTCCCACTGAGGTAAGGGATCGGCTTTTGACCTGGGCGCACACATCCCTTGCCACTGGACACCCAGGTATCACCCGCACCACTCAATCCATCTCCGTTAAGTACTGGTGGCCCACCTTGGCGCAGGACGTTGCCCGCTACGTCAACTCCAGCACTGTATGTGCCCAAATCAAGTCTCCCCGGAACGCTCCAGCAAGGAAACTCCCCCCCTCCCCATTCCTCAGCATCCTTGGACCCATCTGTCGATAGATTTTGTCACTGATCTTCCCCTGTCTAATGGTTTCACCACTGTTGTGGACAGATTCTCCTAATCCTGCCATTTTATCCCTCTCCCTGCTCCCTACCGCTCTCCAGATCGCTGAGGCACTGTTCCAGCAGGTGCTTTGGCAAAGTGGGCAGGGTTATATCTGGCCCGGTTGGCCCTGTCTGGGGGTATCGTCGGACGGGGCCACAATTTTCTATTAAGGTATCTTTACTTTTACTAAAGTATGACAATTGGTTACTTTTGATCAAGAAGAGTAATATGCAGATGCACAGATGGAATGACTATCCTTTCACAAATAATATCAGTTCTGACCTTTGTTTGACTCCTAAGATGATAATTATACACAAGTGTCATGGATTTTTTTATTTTATTTTTGCATATGCCAACTCCCCCTGAGACGCCTGCAAGGAGTGGGGCCAGGGTCACCATTGTACAGCGCCTCTGGAGCAATTAGGGTTAAGTGCCTTGCTCAAGGGCACAGGGAGATTTTTCACCTTGTCGGCTCCGGTATTTGAACCAGCAACTTTTCAGTTACTGGCCCAAAGCTCTGACCTCGAGATAGATGTCCAACAATACATGAACTGTGACTAGACCTAACAAAGGAGAATTAGAGAGCTACATTTGGGTGTGTGAGTTGAACTCATATGGGTCAGTTGGAGTCAGCACTTTCTGTCTTTTTTTGTCATTGTCTCAGTTCCTTACAGTCTTTGAACAATAAAGCTAGCTCTGTCAAACCCTTATCTTGAGTGAGTTATCTTGAGGTTATAATATGCAAATTTTCTACAGTATCTCATTTTTACCTCGGTTACAGGGGGGAAAAAACATACAAAACTGAAAAACACATTTTTCTTTCATTGGACAAAGGCCTATCCCAACTAACCTCAGTCTGATTATGTACTTTTAACTCATGTGATGTATGAAATGTCTTTGTTGCCACTCTTTCTCTCTATTCCGCCCACTCATAATCCTTCCTACTGCACCCCAGCTCTATCCCCAAGCCCAGACATGTCCCTGAAAACAGCCGTATCTCCTACTCCTATCTTGTTTTTCACTGATCACTGCTTGTCACCCTGGGGAGTTATTGTTTTGAGGAAATAACAGATGTTACAGTGCCTTCAGAAAGTATTCATACCCCTTGACTTATTCCACACTTTGTTGTGTTCAAAATTAATTCAAAATGGATTAAATAGATTTTTCTCTCACCCATCTACACACAATACCCCATAATGACAAAGTGAAAACCTGTTTTTTTTTTCTAAATTTTGCAAATGTATTAAATGAAATACAGATATCTTATTTACATAAGTATTCACACCCCTGGGTCAATACTTTGTCGAGGCACTTTGGCAGTGATTACAGCTGTGAGTCTTTCTGGGTAAGTCTAAGAGCTTTCTACACATGGATTGTGGAACATTTGCTCTGTCAAATTGGTTGTTGATTATTTTCAGGTAATTTCATAGATGTTCAAGTCAATGTAGCCCTTTCCTGCAGTCAAATGACCAAATCGGCCCGTAGTAGCCTCATGGGTGGAATGTTATATTTTTCATAATTTCATGTTTTTTTTTTTTTTACAGAAATACCTTATTAACATAAGTATTCAGAACCTTTGCTATGAGACTCAAAATTGAGCTCAGGTGCATCCTGTTTCCATTGATCATCCTTGATGTTTTCGCAACTTGATTGGAGTCCATCTGTGGTAAATTCAATTGATTGGACATGATTTGGAAAGGCACACACATAACTCTTTGCATTCAGGACAAAAGGTTAATCGCTTTGCCACATTTTTTGCAGTATTACTTTAGTGCCTTGTTGCAAACAGGATGCATGTTTTGGAACATTTTTATTCTGTACAGGCTTCCTTCTTTTCCCTCTATTATTGTGGAGTATTATTGTGGAGTAACTACAAAGTTGTTGATCCATCCTCAGTTTTCTCCTAGCACAGCCATTAAACTCTGTAACTGTTTTAAAGTCACCATTGGCCTCATGGTGAAATCCCTGAGCGGTTTCCTTCCTCTCCGGCAACTGATTTAGGAAGGACGCCTGTATCTTTGTAGTGACTGGGTGTATCAATAAACCATCCAAAGTGTAATCAATAACTTCACCATACTCAAAGGGATATTCAATGTCTGCTTTTCTTGTTTTTACCCATCTACCAATAGGTGCCATTCTTTGCGAGGCATAGGAAAACATCCCTGGTCTTTGTGGTTGAATGTGTGTTTGAAATTCACTGCTCGACTGAGGTACTTTACAGACAATTGTACAGTGCCTTCAGAAAGTATTCAGACCTCCCCAACAAAGTACTGAGTAAAGGGTCTGAATACTTATGTAAATGTGATATTTCAGTTTTTTTTATAAATTTGCAAACATTTCTAAAAACCAGTTTTTTCTTTGTAATTATGGGGTATTGTGTGTAGATATAGTAATACATTTTAGAATAAAGCAGTAACGTAACAAAATGTGGAAAAAGTCAAGGGGTCCGAATACTTTCCGAAGGCACTGTATGTGTGGGGTACATAGATGTGTTTAACATCATTCAAAAATCATGTTAAACACTATTATTGCACGCAGAGTGAGTCCATGCAACTTATTATCTGACTTGTTAAGCATATTTTTACTCCTGAACAAAGGGGTTGAATATTTACTGACTTAAGACATTTCAGTTTTTCATTTTAAATTAATTTAGACACATTTTCAAAACATTATTACACTTTTACATTATGGGGTATTGTGTGAATGCCAATGACAAAAAAATCCTAAATGTAATCAATTTGATATTGGCTGTAACACAACAAAATGTGGAAAAAGTCAAGGGGTGTGAATACTTTCTGAAGGCACTGTATATGACTGATCCTAGTTGGATTGTGAATAGTGAACAGTATTATTTGTGTTATTCTGGTAGAAAATGTTCCATGGGTCATGGGTTCAACATCATGTAGACTACTTACCCAGTCTGGTCATTGTGGAGACAGTGCCTTTCAAATGTATTTGATTGGTGACCATCATGCATTCAAATAGCCCAAGGTAAATTAATGAAGACTGATGGTGAGTGGTGGCAGGGGGTAGCCGTTGATACACTGATACCATGATTAAAGATAAACTGATTCAAATTCATTGAAGACCAGTGGAGCTGCCTGACAGATTCCTGGCGCCAGCAGTAGATTATAATTGTCCAAAGAATTGTTCTCTGAGACATGTAACATTTCATTGCATTCCCAAAACGGATTACATAAAACACACCTTAAAAAGCCAAAGACCAAAAAGGCAGTTTATAAAGTAACTGAATGAGCCACAATCCCATCTAATAAGCAGAGTTCTTTAAACGAGTTTCCTTGTTTGGAATAGCCTACACGTTTTTTCATAGAAGCACAAACTATTTTCGTTGACGTACATCATAAACTATATATTGCACAATCACCATTTAGCCAACAACAAATCAAAGAGATGAGAACTTCGAACGCGGAGTGGCACATCGCGTGGAACGAACCATGAGCGGAGCCGCACATCATCACATGCGCGCGCTCTCTCAGCCTCAGCGACAGGCGCGCGGCCGTCCCAGGACAGTATAAAATGCCCCGCGAACAGTCCATAGAGCACGGAAGGAACTGGATTTCTTAGGTGAGTGAGGGATGGGGACAACTGATGGGGACCATACAGGCTACAAACGCGCTTTAGTCATGAGTGAAATACATAATTTTTAGTAGAAACATAAAGCATCTCTAAGTAGGCTAGATTTGATACCGAGATAGTGGCTACTTATAAATTATTGCATTAGGTTAGGTTGCTGTAGCCTACACGTTGGCACTGAAAAGCAAGTAATTTATCTTCTTATTATAGTGTGCAGATTAATCAGACCAAATGTATGGTAAAACTGTTAAGAAGAGCGTCATTGTAGGGGAAACAGAAAATGATAATGGAGAACAAAGTTAGTTTATAGCATAATGACTGGATTTAAGTTGAATCTAAAACGTTTAATTGCTTAGAACTAGTTTAGTTGCTATTCTATGAAAGGTTACTTTTCCTATTTATTCGATTGGCTCACAATAGTATTCTACTTTATTCCCCCAAAAAAATATTCTGCCAATTATTCCAATGATTTACCATTGTATCTTTGTATGTTGTTGTAGTTATTTTCTATAGCTTTGATAGACAACCACTGTCTGACATGGGTCTATGTCTGTTTTCATAGGTGTATCTGTCTGTCAATCAATCATGTAGGCTGTGGCAATAATCCTTGCTCTGACAGTCATCTCTGGTAAGCCTGGGTTTACACTGGTCCCTTTTGACACTGTTATCAATATATACAGTGCCTTGCAAAAGTATTCATACCCCTTGGATTTCTTCAAATTGTTGTATTAGAAAGTGGGCTTAAAATGGATTTCATTGTAATTCTTTACAATTAACTACTATATTTTATAAATGTTTTATTAATCTGTAAAAAATAGTATTGGCAATAAAATTACAATTAAATACATTTTAATCCCACTTTCTAACACAATAAAATGTGAAGAAATCCAAGGGGTATGAATACTTTTGCAAGGCTAAATCCAAGGGGTATATATATTTAGTATTGGTCAACTGTATGTGCATGAATGCATTTACTTACTCCTTGCTGAAATCAGTCTTTTAGGATCAACTCTTACAATACTGTAATACTGTCTTGTATAATTAAGCTTCATACTGTACCAAGGCTCCACGCTCTCATTACCAGACTGGATTTAACCCCCCTGATGGTGTATATTATGTAAACCTCACCTCAGAGCTCTCTGTGTCTCCCTGCAGGCTGCCATGCCCGCGCTGTGCGCCAGGCAGAGGCCCCCCAGAACCGCTGGGAGGAGAACGTTGAGCGCTTCTGGACCTACGTGTCTGAAATCAACAGCAGAGCCGACGGACTGGTGGACAACCTCAAGGCCTCCCAGCTCAGCAGAGAACTCGAGTGAGTGGCGCATTGTAACACTATTTCATTCTGAAGTAATATAGGCTCATATACCTTGCTTCATCGCTCTCCATTATCACCTTGTGTGACTGTCCCTGACCTTGCTTCCCCTCTTTTCCTCTCTCCCCGTCCTCCCCCCGTCCCCCTATGTCCCTAACCATGCATCCCCTCTCTCCCCTGTCCTCCCCCTGTACATCTGTGTCCCCCTATGTCCCTGACCATGCCTCCCCTCTCTCCCCTGTCCTCCCCCCTGTCCCCCTATGTCCCTAACCATGCATCCCCTCTCTCCCCTGTCCTCCCCCTGTACATCTGTGTCCCCCTATGTCCCTGACCATGCCTCCCCTCTCTCCCCTGTCCTCCCCCCTGTCCCCGTGTCCCCCTATGTCCCTGACCATGCCTCCCCTCTCTCCCCTGTCCTCCCCCCTGTGTCCCCTAATGTCCCTGACCATGCCTCCCCTCTCTCCCCTGTCCTCCCCCCTGTACCCCTGTGTCCCTGTACGTCACTGACCATGTATCCCTCTCCCCACTTTATGGGCATCTCTAACCATGCCTCCCTTCTCCCTGTCTGCAGCACCCTGATCACTGACACTGTGGCTGAGCTGACCGTGTACAGGGAGGACATCCAGACCAAGCTGGGGCCCTATGCCCAAGACACAGCCGGCCTGCTGGGCCAGGACCTGCAGCTTCTGACCACCAAGCTCCAGACTGACATGGTTGACGCCAAGGAGCGCAGCACACAGTACCTGGGAGAGCTCAAGACCATGATAGAGCAGAATGCTGATGATGTCCACAACCGCGGCAACACCTACATCCGCAAACTGAAGAAACGCCTTAACAAGGACACCGAGGAGATCCGCAAGTGAGTATAGATGGCAGCAGCTAATGTACTGTAACAGCTTGCTTTCCTAACAGAGAATTTCAAAATACCGTTTTAATATGTCTTCTATGTGATGCTAACCCCCTCTCCCTCTCCCTCCCCAGCACCGTAGCCACCTACCTGGGTGAGATCCAGTCCCGTACCTCCCAAAACATGGATCTCGTGAAGGAGCGTGTGGAGCCCTACGTGAGTCAGGCCCACGACACCGCCGCCGAGAGGTTGGGCAGCTTCACTGACCTTCTGAAGAACCAGGCCCAGGACCTGAGCCAGCAGGTCTCCACCCAGGCCGAAGGCATGCGCGAGCAGCTGGAGGCCACTGCCGAGGACCTGCGCACCACCCTGGAGGGCAAGATCGATGAGCTCAGCAGCCTGATCGCTCCCTACGCCGCCAAGATCCGTGAGCAGCTCCAGACCATCATGGACAAGGTCAAGGAGACCAATGCCTAAATGGACCCAGGGGAGGGAGGGGTTTGGAGGACCGGTGTCCCGCCACTACACCCCTGTTTAAGTAGGGGTGCAGGTTGTGAAGCACTGTGCCACCATTCACCTAGATACCACAGAGAGGAGGAGGGAGTGCTGTTTTCACTCTGTTGGCACTGTGTGTTTGGGGTGAGGGGGGTTGATAGAGAGAGAGGGGTGAGGAAGACAGAGCTTTGAATGGGTTTTGAGCAGACAAACACAGTCCTTTATGTTTGTTTAGGCCTCAGAAAGGCATTTACTGTTTAAATCACTTCAATCACTCTCTCGCTGTATTATCTCCTCATCCCAGAACACAAGAGCCACACTCAATACTGCCTTTCATAAACACACAAGAGGCTATTGTTTTTAACCTGCTTCGCTTGTCTTCCTCGTTATAAGTGCTCTAGATGTCTCCTCCAAAATGTTCTACTAATCTGCATCAGGTTTCTAAGGCTACTATATGGGACACAAGGGGGGGGTTGAAACAGTATCTTCCAATTGTGAGCCAAATTGGCTGGGGCCCATTCCAGCGCTGTCCCTGTCCTTCATTTCAATAACTGCACTGAACTAAGACTGGGCTTATCTCCAGCACTAGCATCAGTCTTTCCAGAACCATTGGAGAAGAACCACTCTGTGCCTTGCTTGTCTATGATGCTGTATCAACACCTGCTCTGTAGGCTCTGTATTTGTTGTGATTCATATAGAAGTGTATTTACTATGACTGTGATATGATGCGAATATGACAATCAAACTAAAAGGCATACTTCACAGGGTCCATATACTACCTGTCTGTATTATTTCAGTTTGGCAAGAGTGTCTCTGCCACTTCACAATGTAACATGCCCATGCTTCTCACCATAGTACACTGTCCGTCTGGCTGACTGCAGTGTGCTACCCAGTGCTGCGTAAATAAAATATGTAAAGAGATGCTAAATTGTCAGTGTTCTTTTCTTGTCAAACATTTATACACTTTTTTCAACTTTGAAATGTCTTTATTTTTAGTTACAATGACAACTGAGGTAGTTAATATACAGTGAGGGGAAAAAAGTATTTGATCCCCCTGCTGATTTTGTATGTTTGCCCACTGACAAAGAAATTATCAGTCTATCATTTTAATGGTAGGTTTATTTGAACAGTGAGAGACAGAATAACAACCAAAAAAAAGCATATCAAAAATTTTATAAATTGATTTGCATTTTAATTAGGGAAATAAGTATTTGAACCCCTCTCAATCAGAAAGATTTCTGGCTCCCAGGTGGCTTTTATAATATGAAAAAAGGGAGTGCTCCTAATCTCAATTTGTTACCTGTATAAAAGACACCTGTCCACAGAAACAATCAATCAATCAGATTCCAAACTCTCCACCATGGCCAAGACCAAAGAGCTCTCCAAGGACGTCAGGGACAAGATTGTAGACCTACACAAGGCTGGAATGGCCTACAAACAAGACCATCGCCAAGCAGCTTGGTGAGAAGGTGACAACTTTTATTCGCAAATGGAAGAAACACAAAATAACTGTCAATCTCCCTCGGCCTGGGGCTCCATGCAAGATCTCACCTCGTGGAGTTGCAATGATCATGAGAACGGTGAGGAATCAGCCCAGAACTACACGGGAAGATCTTGTCAATGATCTCAAGGCAGCTGGGACCATAGTCACCAAGAAAACAATTGGTAACACACTACGCCGTGAAGGACTGAAATCCTGCAGCGCCCGCAAGGTCCCCCTGCTCAAGAAAGCACATATACAGGGCTGTCTGATGTTTGCCAATGAACATCTGAATGATTCAGAGGAGAACTGGGTGAAAGTGTTGTGGTCAGATGAGACCAAAATCGAGCTCTTTGGCATCAACTCAACTCGCCGTGTTTGGAGGAGGAGGAATGCTGCCTATGACCCCAAGAACACCACCCCCACCGTCAAACATGGAGGTGGAAACATTATACTTTGGCGGTGTTTTTCTGCCAAGGGGACAGGACAACTTCACCGCATCAAAGGGACGATGGACGGGGCCATGTACCGTCAAATTTTGGGTGAGAACCTCCTTCCCTCAGCCAGGGCATTGAAAATGGGTCGTGGATGGATATTCCAGCATGACAATGACCCAAAACACACGGCCAAGGCAACAAAGGTGTGGCTCAAGAAGAAGCACATTAAGGTCCTGGAGTGGCCTAGCCAGTCTCCAGACCTTAATCCCATAGAAAATCTGAGGAGGGAGCTGAACGTTTGAGTTGCCAAATGTCAGCCTTGAAACCTTAATGACTTGGAGAAGATCTGCAAAGAGGAGTGGAACAAAATCCCTCCTGAGATGTGTGCAAACCTGGTGGCCAACTACAAGAAACATCTGACCTCTGTGATTGCCAACAAGGGTTTTGCCACCAAGTACTAAGTCATGTTTTGCAGAGGGGTCAAATACTTATTTCCCTCATTAAAATGCAAATCAATTCATAACATTTTTGACATGCGTTTTTCTGGATTTTTGTTGTTGTTATTCTGTCTCTCACTGTTCAAATAAACCTACCATTAAAATTATAGACTGATCATGTCTTTGTCAGTGGGCAAACGTACAAAATCAGCAGGGGATCAAATACTTTTTTCCCTCACTGTACCTGAATAAATGGATCTTCATCTTACAATCTATGGTTGATGAACACACAAAATCAAGACATTCCTATGCTTATAAATTCACTCTATCATGCACCAAGTTCTGATAACAATGATAAGCTGAACCAGGTTAGTTACAACTGGGGTAGCTCTCCAGGAACAGGGTTGGAGACCCCTGACATTCAGTAATTAAGTGTTGGTCTTTATAAACCACCAACAATTTAAGTTTAATTGAGATCTACGTTAGGTTATAATGTCACTTAACATCACATCTGGAGGCTCCAGAAATAGGTTGGACAGAATGTCCTCGTTTTTCCCATCCCCAGATCCCATGTCTTCAATCCCTAAACACCAACCCTAAACCCCCTGTAGGCAGTTCTCTACTACCTGTACACTCATAAACACACACGTTCCTTATCATACACTTTCTTCAGGCTGTTGTTATATGCATTTATAGGGATAACTTATACATGGTAAATGTGTGATGATTTGCAGTAAGAGCTTTTTTCAGGGTACCTTTCCTTCTCCCTAACCCACATTACCCCTTTCACCTTTTCTTTTAGGACCCTCCCCCACCACCCATACACCCCTCTCCACAAACACTGTCAATTCATCTCCTAATCTGTACATTTGGTGCTTGATTGACCAAACATTAATGGGCCTTTCCACCCCTCCTGCGCTGCAGGTCTTTCTTTCTCTTTTGTCCCCTTTCCTCCCTCCTTCCATACCTCCCTCCCTCTCTCCCTCCCCGGTCCTGGCTTGTCGGGATCTGCTCTCACATTCCTTTCTCTTTATCCCAGCAGGTTTCGGGAACCATGTTTTTGTTTTCATCTACTATGTTTATAGATATTCTACCCTCCTCTCCCGTCTAAGATACACAGACATGCACGCAGATACACACACACACACAGGTACATAGGTACACAAATGCTATGATAATTGCTTTTGATGGCTCTACAGTTAGTTTTTCATGTTTGCAATTTGACTTGTAATATCGCTGACCCTGCTGCTATCTTGGACCCAGTCTGTCTTGCAAAATAGATTTTATCCAAGAGATTCTAGTTTTAACCCAGATAAATCAGGTTTAAAAGAACATGTAAACACCAGAAACACCCAGTAATAGTAAGGTGTTCTGGCAGACCAAACAAAACATGGAGTAAAGACATACACATGGCCCTAAACAAAACAGTCTTGCACCATTTGGGTTCAATGGCGTTGAACGGCAACCTGAGAGAGAAACATCTTCTTGCCAGGCCTTTCTGTGGCTGTAGCTTGCCTTCACCCAGGGCCGGCACTAGACATAAGCGACATAAGCAATCGCTTAGGGCCCCGCAGCGACTTAGGGCCCCTCCCAATCTCATACACATATAAAGACATACACAAACCAACTACACTGAGTGTACAAAACACTAGGAACACCTTCACCTGGATTCACCTGGTCAGTCTATGTCAAGGAAAGAGTAGGGCTGTGGCGGTCACGAAATTTCACCAGCCGGTGATTGTCAAGCAAATAACTGTCGGTCTCCCGGTAATTGACCGTTAATTAACATAAACACATTTAGCATCTCCTGGATTCCACACATCGCCTACAGACCACTGACGCAGACCTTTGGAACATCTACATTTTTAAATGTCTAATAAATCCATGTAATGTAGTCTACACCTTCACAATAAATCCATTATTTATTTTAGACAGGTCTAAATAAGCATGATATGAAGCAAATGTAGTCTATTTCAGAAGAACAAAATAGCATACTCTGAGTTGTCCTTATGTTAGGTCCTGATCTGGCTATGCCAAATGCTGTGGGCTACACTAATTCATTTAGCAGACAAGATTTGCTTAGAATTCCGTGGCATTATTTTATAGTATGAAGAATACAATTGAACAAAGCTGAATAAAATATAAATTATATTTTCTCCAAATGATTTGAGGGAGTGCGCACATGCGGCTATTCTGTGTTGAGCGGTTAACAAAGAAATAGGTACTCCTATATGCTTAATTTAGAATTATTAATGTAACTTTAGTTATTCTACAAACGTTGGGCTATATGTTTTGATTTGCAATACATTGTAAGGCTGCATGATGCGACTCTAATGATGAGTTGAAGTAGCTTGAAAGGCATGAGCTCTGCTTTGTTTTTTGCGTAGGCTGTACACACTACATCAGTCACTCATTCACAATTTGACAAGCACTTGATAATGCCTGGAATTTCACGGCGGCATCCCTTTTGTGTGGCCGTAATGCACCCTGATTTAGAATGGACCATTATCATGCACCTGTCTCGAAACAGCGGCAGGGGAAAAAATACATGTCATCTATGCACTTTAATAGCGAATGGAGGACGCTTTTCCCCGTGGTTTATTTTCATGCCAGCCAGGTAGGCTATACTCCTGTTGTAAATATAAGTAATATGCTTAATATTAGGAAAGTTGAGAAATAAATATAGTAGGCCTAGCCTATAGAACGCTGTAGCTCAGTTGGTAGAGCATGGCGCTTGCAACGCCAGGGTTGTGGGTTCGTTTCCCACGGGGGGCCAGTATGAAAATGAATGCACTCACTAACTGTAAGTCACTCTGGATAAGAGCGTCTGCTAAATGACTAAAATGTTTAGTAGAGGCCATCACTCTGTTAGCCTATTGAAATGTTGCGCAACATGAGCTCATGGGCTCTCATGAAGTGTTTGATTAGATTTTCAAAACATTTGCATTGATGTCTGAGTGATTAGAGGGACAATATAGTGCTGAGTACCAGGCAGTTAGCAAGTTTGGTAGGCTGCTAATAACCATCAGAGCTTGGAGAAGCCTAATTACCGTGACTAACGGTCACGTGGAATTTGACTGCCTTCATGACTCGTGACCGCCGGTGTGGCGGTAATACGGTCACCGCAACAGCCCTAGGAAAGAGTTCCTAATGTTTTGTAGAGTGTAATTTAAAGAAAGTGTGAGTCACAAAGTTTGCCTCTGAAGCGTAGGATAGAGGCCAACCAGTAAATATTTAGGCTGGAAGCCAGGCAGTGAAGGCCACCACTTGTCCCTCCTCTCTGCTCCACCAATCCCCTAAGCACTTACACCTACAGTACTTTAGTGTTGTTGTTACTGGTAGTTTCAATAAACTAAACAAAGTTCATTCTCACTGTATACAAGAGCACTATGGGCATCTTTATTTTTGAAGATGAAGCACAGTTTTGTGATCAAGTCTATAAATATGAACACAAGAACTTTGATGATCTACATTAAAATGTGCACACTCATCCTTTTAAAACCAGGAAAAAAACGGTAGAAAAAATGCTCCATGCATGCAAAAACTGTGTCTAGTAAACCACCCCTACCCAACCCCAACCATAAAAAGTATCATACAATTTCAAGTATGTGACCAAGTAGAAGACAAGAAGAGTAAAAATGACTACAATGACCTCTCCCCTAAATCAGGTCA